CTAAGCGCTCATATATGGTAAAAACAATGGTTGAAAGTTTAGGCGAAAATGAATTGGATGAAGTTCTTACTCTAAAAAATATTAAGTCTGATACTCTGGAAAAGGTTATTGAATTCGCTACTCATCATAAAAATGATCCCATGCCAAAAGGAGATGGCACGGATGAAAAACCTCAAATGACAGAATGGGATCGAACATTTCTAAAGGTATTTAAACAATATTAAGTTTGAATATTATTTTTATTGGAATTCAGTTGAACATTTTAACTTGAAATTCAAATTTAAAATCGCATGAGCATAAATTATACACTCGGCAACAAAATTATCGCAACAAAAAAATTCATCGAAATTTTGTCGATTTTCAAATGCTTCTATCTTGGGCTAGATTTATCGTATCGACACCCTTTTTTTTTAATTTCTTGGAAATTTTGTCCTCTTTTAATCCATATAAATTAAGATAAGATTTGAGTTAATGTTGAGTTACCAGTAGTATTTGAGCGTGACCCTAAAAATTACTGAAAAAAATGACTGTTTGAACGTGTACCAGTACCACAGTGATTTTTTTATCGAAATCTAACATACACCATCGCAAAGTGCTCTTTTTAACGAGTAATTTAAAAAAAAAGGACCTCTCTACGATTTTTTTAACGCCCTGTAGGTCGATTTAAAGATACCATTTAAAGTACGTAAAATCCCCCGTTTAGCTGAAATCAAGACGATTTTCTGGGCTTTTTGCGTACACAAACCGTACCTTCAAATCGACCTACAGGGCGTTAAAAAAATCGTAGAGAGGTCCTTTTTTTTTTAAATTACTCGTTAAAAAGAGCACTTTGCGATGGTGTATGTTAGATTTCGATAAAAAAATCACTGTGGTACTGGTACACGTTCAAACAGTCATTTTTTTTCAGTAATTTTTAGGGTCACGCTCAAATACTACTGGTAACTCAACATTAACTCAAATCTTATCTTAATTTATATGGATTTAAAGAGGACAAAATTTCCAAGAAATTAAAAAAAAATGCGTGTCGATACGATAAATCTAGCCCAAGATAGAAGCATTTGAAAATTGACAAAATTTCGATGAATTTTTTTGTTGCGATAATTTTGTTGCTGAGTGTATCTTTGTTTTCTTCGCCCAATACTGTCATCAATACAACATCTATACCTGGTTATTCCGTAAAGTTACACGTGGACCATGATTGAATTTAATAACTTGAATTATCGAAATAAGCTTAAAATCTCAATTGTTTACAAAAATTATATATACTACTTAACAAATCAGCAAAATTCTTATAATATTTTTGAATAATGTTACAGGTTGATTTGGACACTCTTTTTGAACTTACTTTAGCAGCCAATTATTTAGATATGAAAGATTTGTTAGATTTGGTAACCCAAACAATAGCCATAGGACATTTTAAAGATACATCAGTAGACGGACTGCAGAAGACTTCAGAAATATTGATGCCAAAGTAGAGAAGCTCATCCACCCTCTGCTTCTGATGATGACAATGCCGTTTTTCAAAATTAGACGAAATAGTTTTAATTAAATAAGAGACCTAGTTATAAATACTTATTGTTCGTGATAAAAATTACTAAATAAAGCAGATATTCAACTATTAAAGTATAAAAACTTAATTAACACTAGTTATTGAACCTTACTAGCTACGCTTGCTCTGTATTTGAGATTTTTTTTGAAAAATGTCTCATTTCGATTTAAAAGAAAAAAACCGCTTCCTATTCATTGACAAAGAGCTTCCTCGTGAAAAATTATCGTTCCTATCTTATTTATGAAATGCCAATGAAGCAAGTAATTAAACTAGAACCCAGCACAAAAAAAAATTAATCCGTTTCTGGCCAAACGGACGAAATTTCCCACATTTTTTCCGGTGCTATAAGCTCTGTGAAAAAATATCTGAAAAATGTTTAAATAGTCATTTTTGATGGGAAATTTTATGAACTTTTCGAATCCAGTGTCAGAATTGTAAAGAATGTTAAGGAACAAAAGTTATGAACAGTTACACAACAAAAAACACGATTTTTTTGAAAAAAAATTTGATTCGACCTAAATTTTTGAATCAAAAAAGACTTCATCCGTGTGTCTGACACATATTTTTTGCGTCCATGGGGTGTATACATAAAAGTCCAATTGTTACAATATCAAAAATTCAACATGGTGGACAACAAAATGGCGCCTCGTAAAAAAAACCATGTATAAACTTGGTCAATTTTTTTATCTGCTAACCAAGCATCTAGGAAAAAAACTTTACTTAAAAAAACTCCTTATAATTGTTCAAAAAAGACCCCTGAATTATTTCAGAATTTTCCGGGGAAATTTTTGTATTTTTGAAAATGGTCAGAAATCAAAAATACCAAAAATGATCCATAAAAATCTTAAAAAATTCAGACATATTCTATAAATCATTCTAAGACTTTTATAACGTACAACTCTTTTTCGTCAAGTTTTTCATTAAAAGTAGAAAAATTAAATTATAATTATTCTAAGAACATAATCAGTTTTCATAACTCGAAAATGAAGAACTCGACGCTAAGACAGCTGCTAGCGTGCTCGATATGTACAGAACAAAACTTCGAACGCGTTTTTCTCGAAACTACTATTGCGTCACTGGATGTTGGAAAGGCAGAAGGATGCAATATTAATTAAATGCGTATTAGCAGAGTTAATTGTTAAATTATGTTCACTTTATTATATGTATCGCGGCTCGCTATCGCTTACACTTGTTCGCACGCGTTGACTCTAGGTCGGTCAAAGTTATTCTGTGGAGCGGCGACCAGCAAGTCGCCGGCACACATGCGAAGCAGATCCCAGCGCGGTGGGTGAAGACATGCCACGGCTGCTGCCGCGAGAAGGCCTAGGCAGGCCGCGCGCACACACCACTGCACACATACACACACACAGGCGGAACACGCAAGTCCGCCGAGCCCGAGCCGAGATGTCGCGTCTACACGCTGGTGAGGCGCGCGCTCACACACACACACACACACACACACACACACACACACACACACACACACACACACACACACACACACACACACACACACACACACACACACACACACACACACACACACACACACACACACACACACACACACACACACACACACACACACACACACACACACACACACACACACACACACACACACACACACACACACACACACACACACACACACACACACACACACACACACACACACACACACACACACACACACACACACACACACACACACACACACACACACACACACACACACACACACACACACACACACACACACACACACACACACACACACAAGCACGAGAGCCTGTGGTCGCTTTCTGTACAAATCGTAGTACACGTTCACGGCATTGCCAGTACAGGTTACGACGCCGCAGCGTGCACAGATAAAAGAAAAATCGCATCGACGGCAGTGAGTGAAAAAAACAGTTTTTTTCAAGTTATAAGTGGTTATGTTTGTGTACTAGAGTGCGTACAATGATGTCGTATAATGAATGCGATGTAAGTTTCAATGATCAACAAAAAATAGAACTATTAAAGAGCTTGCGAGACAGTATCAATTGGAAAAAAAAAGAGGAGCGAAAAGAATTTATCCAGCGACTTGAAAACTTATTTGGTACATGGAATGGCCAACTTCCAAACCTCGGAGCCATTTTTCGATCCAAACAGATCGAGCGTCTTCTCTTGGATTCCATAAATTATTCTGGAAGACAATTCATCGACTTCGTGGCTCGCAGCGGCTACAAAGACGAGCCCGAAGTTGATACGAACGGCAAGATATCGTTGCGTCGCACCACACCAGTACATCACGCGGTTAGATTCAAGTTCCGAACCATAGTCCATGATCTTTTTAAAATTTACAGTAGAACAGACGTAAATTACACGGACGAATCCGGCTACTCTCATTTTCATGTGGCCTGCATGTTTGGCTGCCAAGAAATCGTTAAAAAATTTCTCGAACTCGGACAAGATCCCAATTACCTCGTGGAAAAAACAGGTGCTTCCCCGCTACACTTGGCTTTGGACGAGAATCAAGGAAATGTGGCCGAATTACTGCTGAGAAGCGGCGCCGATCCGAACATAGCCAACAAGAATGGCTTGAATGCTCTGCACATTGTTTGCAGTAGATACAATCGCGATAGTGGAACGATGAATATGCTGTTCGAGCTGACTCACCAAAAATTTCAGCCGCTACAGATCAACGCCAGGTCAAAATCGGGTAACACACCATTGCACTTGGCTGCGGTTTCTCGCGACAGAAACGCGATCGATTTTTTGCTGAGGCGAGACGGAGATCCACATTTGGCCAACGAGAAGGGACTCACCCCTTTGCATATTATTTGCCAGAGCGACAAGGACGATAATTTGGCGGAGATATTTTTCCAGATCACCGAGGAAGTCAATCGGCCGGTGCAAATCGACGCCCAGGACAAGGACGGCAAAACATCGCTTCACTGGGCTATCCATTACGGCATTGAGAAATTGACTAGGTTTCTACTGAGAAGAGGCGTCAATCCAAATCTAGCCGATTCAGATGGATCGACTCCTCTGCATTACATTTGCAACAGTCACCGCGGCAATTGGCTGCGGATATTTTTCTCCGTCACTGACGACATGCAGCAAACGGTGTTGATCGACGCCCGGGACAATTTGGGCCGTACACCGCTGCACTGGGCCTTGAGTCGCGGCCTCGACAGGGTAGCCGAATTTCTGCTGAGAAGAGGGGCCGATCCGAACTCAGCCAACGAAGAGGGATTGACTCCTCTGCATATTATTTGCAATAGAAACTACAACGACGATCTGTTGGGGATATTTTTCCAGATCTGCGGCAATTTACAGCATACTGTGCAGATCGACGCCCAGGACAAATTGGGAAACACTTCGTTGCACTTGGCATTGAAATTAGGACACTGCGCCAAGAAGAATGCGGTCAAACTGCTGCTGAGAAACAACGCCGATCCTAATCTGGTTAACGGCGAGGGAACGACTCCTCTGCACATCCTTTGCCAGAGAGACGAGGACGACGGCATGATGGCGCTATTCTGCGCGACCTGCAGACAGGCGGCGAACGTCAATGCTCAGGACAGGTTGGGCAACACGCCTCTACACTGGGCTATTATTAGCAAAAACCCGAAGGTGGCCAAATTTTTACTAAGGCGAGGCGCTAATCCAAATTCAAGGAACGAGGAGGGATTGACTCCCTTACACTGTATATGCATGGTATACAAGGACGTTGACTTAGCAGAGTTTTTTTTTAAGTTCAACGGAGATATTGCACAGGCGGTGCAGGTCAATGCCCGAGACAAGTTGGGCAATTCACCGCTGCTTTTTGCTCTGGACAATGGCCACAAGGATGTTGCCGAATTGCTGTTAAGAAACGGCGCCAATTCCAGTTTGGCCAACGAGGAGGGATCGACTCCACTGCATATTATATGCAAGGCGGGACACTCTAAAGGTTTGGCGGAGATGTTCTTCGAGATCAACGACGAAAGACATCAAACGCTGATGGTCGATGTCGTGGACAAGTCGGGCCGTACACCGTTGCAATTAGCTGTGGCAAATCTCAATTTGGATGTTATCGATGTGCTTTTGGATCGCGGGGCTGATTTGTCCAGCTTCGTTTTCCCCAATGAGATATACTTTGGCGAGGGCGTCGAATATTATTTCTACTGGGATAAATTGAATTTAGCGTCTCGCGTTCTGGCCATCGTCGATCGCCTGGAAAAAAAAGGATATGAACTGGATCAAAGCGACGCTGTGACGATCATGAAACTCTTTGCCAGGCGAAGATTGTTCAAAAAATCAACGGATCTCCACAAAAGTTGGCACGACGACGAGGAGTTCGCGAGCGAAGCGAAAAAAATAATGATAAAGCCGAGTCTTTCGCTGCACGACTTGGTCAAGTTACCGCACAAAGAGGCATCGAAACTAGTCACTTATACGGACTACTACGAGTTGGCGCGCTCGAATAAATTCACGATGCTGCCCGAATGGCCTAAGAAGACTTGTGCAGCGCATCTATGCGAGCAACTATCGAGAGGATTTTTCCGGGGTTGGGTGATGGATTTTTTCTTGAAGCTGATTCACTACAGACTGCCGCTTCTCTGCTGTGACATGATCCTCGATGATCTGACGAGCCAAGATCTATGCAATATTTGCTTGGCGGCCGCAGGCCTAAACTCGTCACGACGATAAAATAGTATTTTTTAATGTTTGGTTTTATTAAATGTTTCATATTTTCAATACTTTCTAAATAAATAAATTAATGAAAATAACCCACACTGCTAATTCATTTTAAAAAATTTCCTCTCATCAAGTATATTTGTATTTTAAAATTTAACTATTCAAGCGATAAGGCCCAAGCAAGATTGATAGAACCTTTACACTGTATGTAAAACGATTCGTTTCCCGGAAAAACGCAAATATAGCGTATTGAGGTCGCCTGCGCAAGTTGGGAAGTGGTAACAAAAAACTAGTTAAATATCGAGACCTTTCGGCAAGAAAGATTTATTTAGTGCGTAAATTTTTTTCAGGTTTGCTATATTAAAATCATTCAAAAAATCTTAATTTTAGAGATGCATAATTGAATACTTACTTATTTTAATAAAAATTATTATTTCAAGATGATTTTGTGCGTGTTTTTTTGTTTCATTTATAATTAATGCAACTTTAATTAATCCTACAATTCTACAATTATGCCCATAAATAGAAATAATTTTCCAATCAATATTTTATTAATATAATTTGATGAGTATACATGGAAACTGAGATAAATTACTTTGGCTTTTTGTGAGAAGCAGAGAGTTAACAATATTTCTTTATTCAACAATGAACAATCAGCCTTTGGGAAACATATTGACGTATAGATTTTGATTTGACAAAATGTTGACGAGTAAAAAAACAATATGAACATATGTTACTTTGACGTTTTTTTCGAAATTTGATTATTTTAATGAATAGGGTATCTGCATAAAAAAAAGTAATGATATTTTTGAAATCAACATAAATGAATTATCAATGAATGTTTTTTTTTTAATTTTTCATTGCGTTTTTACTTAAAAATTTATCGTTTCAGAAAATACAACTTTTCAAACGGCCGAAAACGCACCAAAAGAGCTCGAAGCTGTGCGAGCGGACCGTGACGTCATACTTTTCAGTAGACGCATATATATAGGTATACAAATTACATGCAGCAGCCGACTTACGTTATAAGTATGACGTCACAGTTATGCGGACCAATCAAAATCGTTTGTGGAGTTCAAAATAATTTTCAAATTTTTTTGATTTTTATTCTCGTATTAAAAATTACCTGACTGTTCAAAATTGTTTATGTTTTTACTCTCACATTCCTTGATACGCATATTTTATTATAACGTAATTATTTCAATGATTTTTTTTCAGTACATCTTACATGTTGTAGTGTTGCTTTACAAATATTATTTTCAGGCAGGTGAAGGCGTCTTTTTCGGGTTACACGAAACACGAACTGATATGAAAAATAAGATTCTGTCCCTTCATACAAAATTGTTTACGTTACACGCCGCCGGGTGGCGCTGGCTCATGAACGCCGCTCTCACAAGTGACTTTACAAATAAATGAGCATATAAGTGATAATGATAGCATATAAGTGGTAAGCTTGATCTTTTTATAATATACAACAATTTCAATAAGGATTGCATCGATAAGGAATCGGGGCTTTCGCATTTACAGGTCGCTTACATGTCTGTAGCTGTCTTCGTTTCAAAGTTATTCATGAAAAACGAAAACATGCGCTAATTTTTTGCATATAATCATTGTTTAAACAAAATGGGACAATTTCTCGAGGGGGCATTTTTGTTTTTTTTCATCCTTATTAACCCTAGAAACGAATGGCACAACCCGTTTGCTGTTATTTTTCATGTCATCAAAAAAACTAAATTGACTGGCCTAAGAGATAAATTGGGTCGAACACCTATCCAAATAGCCGTGGAAAACTTTCGGTTGGACTTGATTTATCTACTATTAGCACGTGGTGCGAATTTGCCAAGCAGCGTTTTCCCCAAGAACACTTAATTCGCCAAGAGTTTGCAAACTTTGATAACCGCTACTTGGGATAATAAAAAATCGTTAAGAGCATTCGTCTTGTTTGCACAAACATTTTGATAGACTTATACCAATATTCTGACTTTTCCACTTGCAGATTTACCCATAGAGATACTGGACATTTCGTGGTGAAAGCTGAAAATGGCAATATTGTATTAATTCCGATTGAAAACTGGTCCAAATTTTTATAAACAAACTAGCAGTCATTTTCAAGTCTTTTGAAAAACGCTCGATATTTTCAACATAAATTTAATAGAAAATTCGTCAAAAAACCAACCAATTAATGGCAAGTTAGATGTAAAACATTTAAAGTCATTTTTTTTTCTTTCGGCAAAAAAAGCGGTGTAAAAATCCACTCACCTGCAGAAAATTTCGACACTGAAGACTGACGTTTTATGGCCACCAAAGTCCGCATAAATTTGCAGATCGCACAGAGACTAAAACGAAGTTATATGAAATTTTTTCGCTTACTTTACGAGTGATCTCGTATGCCACAGGTGCGCCGTTGTCCTTCCTGATCGCCATGTAAACTTGCCCGAAGGATCTCTTGCCGGTTATCCAGATCATAGTTCACTGTGTACGCGAGTAGAAGAGAATTTATACATACTATCCTACGCTTGGACAAGTAAAATATAAGTGTAAAATATTCGGTATGGGTTCGAGGTGTTCGGTGCAAGTAGGTTTTGTAGGTAATTTAGAAAAATTCATTAATTTTATTCATTAATTAATTTAGAAAAATTAATATTAATATATTATTGAGAAGTTGTTAGTTATTATTGATAACGTGAAATAAAAGTCTCTATTGACAGCCGAGTTTCAAGAATGGCATTAATATATAAAAAAAATGCAATGATTAAAAACATGACGATAAAAAACCATGCAAAATTTTTTCTAAATAATATCGTTTCAAAAAAACTACACATTTTTAATCTCGAAGTGGAATACCTTTAGGCGAAAATGCCCTCGTTCTCAACTACAGTACTGATAATACCCGCGTAAAAATCTGAACAATCGGCAATATGTGTGCAATATATTGGCGATTAATATTTGCAATATATCGGCAATGACTCGCCAAGTCAATCGCCGATATATTGCAACTATAGAGGCATATGGACATCCGTGCATATATCGAAAATTCATTGCCCATATATTGCTAATAAAATTTTTAAATTATGAAAAAATTATTCGAAATTATTATTATTTCGATTTTTTATTAAAAAAAAAGTAATTTTAACGCAGGAATGAATTTAAAAATTGAAATTTAGAATTTAAACCATTTATTTATTAAATCTAAGTTTTATTCATAAACGAAAAAAAATTAGTAATCGTTAAGAAATTAAAGTATTTCAATTGAATTTCAGTGTTTCAATAGAAAGTTAAATAAAACAAGAAGCAAGGAAAAATTCATCTGCGGGGATAACGCATTGAAGTGCACATGTTGACGACGTTGGTAAAATCGACAATGTCCAATGGATATGTGCACTTGGAGTTGACGTAGTCTGGAAAGTATAATATTTTATTAAAATGATTGAACAATACATTTGTGGTATTGACACTTACATTCAACGGCACTAAAAATGTCCACGGGTATCCCATCGTTTCTAAGAGATCGTCCTCGAGCGCACATATCGAACAAATTATGTTCGCCCACTAGTTTTTTCATCAAACGCCTAGTGAGTTCCCTTGGATTATTACGCCAACGCTGAAAATATAGCCACGCGAAAGATTCGTAGCTATGTACGGTTTTTTTTTATTTTTAGGCTCGAGCGAATCACCATACATATGTAAAAATCGCAGAATAAACATTAATATATATTCATCCGATCCACAGAGAGACAGAAGCAACTGGCCTTAGCTGCTGAAGCGGCGGCAAGAAGCGGGGGTGGAGGGGGAGAAGGGGGGGAGAACCGACAACCATAAAAATAGAAAAAAAAGAAGAAATTTTGGTTGTAGCCGCAGTGGAGGGTCGAAGTTTTGACGCGTGAGAAGGAAAGATGCTGCCGACGATACACGAAGAACAAGAAATCGACGATGGTAAATAATAATTTGTATTCGTTAATCCTTAATCGATACGTTGCTTATTGTACTTCGAAGTAACGTTTCCTTGATTTAAATAATTTGACATTATCATTGCAAGTATCTATCTCTCATGTGCCTGTAGCTTTCGGTCTGCTTACAAACATGTGACAACTCTCGTTGAGACTTACTTCTGACATCTGCACGCATTTTCGGATAATTATACACACTCCGCAACGAAATTGTGTCAACAAAAATTTTTATCGTAATTGTGTCAATTTTTTTTAAATGCTTCTATCTTCATCTATTTTAATTGCATGGAGACAACTTTTTTTGGAATTTTTCTGTTCTATAAATCCATATACACGATGTGTAAGTTCGATTTAATATCAAGTTACCAGAAAAAAATCGATTATTTGGGGTAGTGGGTGATGAATGATGATAATAATAATAGTACAGATACATAGAAATATAGTACAGATTTAGCTCATGTAGGTTGGTATTTACAAGCATGCGAGACACCGCGATGGGCGAAAACACGACAAAATTCATTTTTAACATTAAATATGTCTTCAAATAGTCCGTTCGGGGCATATTAAATTATATCCAAAGTAAACCATCGCAAAGTACTGTGTTCAACGAGTAATTAAAAAAAAATGAGCTTTCTACGTATCCTAGTCGAGCCCGCATATATAAGATATCGTTTAACAAGCTCAATCGGGCCCAACTTTGATCATTTCTCTCCAACTTTGCAGATCCTATGGCCATACCGTTCTATCCCTTCGGGAAGGTACTTGTCAAGAACCAAACTCGTCGGAGGTCGAAATCCGACTACGTCTACGGGGCATTGTTTTATATCGTTATGCTCGCGTTGGCGTTCGCCGTGACCTACAATGGTAAGTCAATACGAAAGGCGTATTTCTCTCTGAATCCGCAAGCTCATAATTTGATGTAAATTTCAACGATCCTGCAATTTTGTGCAACTTTTCAGATGTGTACTTGTACCAGCCGGAAATGACCAGTTATACGAATTGTAGCACTTATGCGAAAAGCACAATTCATACGAATAGTACGAATTTGAAAATCGATAAAATCAGCTCTGCACCCTTAGGATGGTAAGCATATCTATTTCATCGTACGTAGCATATAGGGCTTGCAATGAACAATAATTCGCATTCAAGGATACCGCAGGCGCTCGCCAGCATAATCATCGGTCAGACGATCGCCTGGGCCACGCTTTACTTCTCCTGCGGCTCGCTGCAAAGATTCCCGTCTCTCACCTTTACTTTGGACGTCGCCACGCTCGTGATCTCGCTACGGTACTGCTACGGAGATTGCTTCGACGATCAGTTTGCTATTTTGGTCCACTACGTCTTGGTGATAGGGCCGGTGGTCGCAAGCTTTTTTTTACTGGGGACGATGCAGCCGACTCTGGCCGATGACAAAGGAGCCGCGATGGTGCAGCCTGCCAACATCGTCTCCGGCGCGCAGGCCCACGACACCGAGACTTGCGCTGAGAGATTCGAGACATACCGGGATCGCGGATGCCCGCGTTTCGTAAGTCATCATATATAATAATAGTCGTTTCGTTCGAGCTCTATGTTATTTGTATTCTCTTGGCAGATGATGCGATTACTCGCCTGGATGACGTTTCTTCGCCTGACCTTCTTGTCGTGGTACTTCGCCGATCGCATAATCAACTTGTTGAACTACGATGGCTTCTTCGATCATTACATGTTAACCGTACCATTTTTCATAGTTATATCGGCTGTGGTGAGCGGTTTTCGTTACCTTGCTTACGTCGAGCGCAGAGAAGAACGAGCTGTACGATCGTCCCGTGTCGAAGTACCGAACGGAGTATTATAGAATTAATTCGGTGATTTAAGAATTGTTTGAAAAAAATTAGCTTGCTCATCGATGAATTCGAGCGATTCGTGTGTATATTTCTAAGAAAACATTTATAGTACTGCGAAGTAAGTGAATTTAACAAGTATACATTGTCAATCTGTTCTCGATTGACTTTACGAGATAATTTTACGAAATGAAAAGAGCTTAGAATTAATCGGTTTTCTTTAGTCTACTATTGATTATGAAGTTTTCTTTTGTTTTCACAGCAATTTTTGTTTGGATTTATTTCCGCACTCATAAAGTTTTCATGATATCTTATCATATTTTACATTGTTTTGAACATCATTTTTAATGCAAAACAATTTTTATAGAACTTTTAATGTAACGCGTGACATTGACTTGTCAGTCAATGGTTGAAAGAAGCATTAAAAAAATTACATTTAGCGAGTTGATAAGGAGAAAATTTATTGTGTTTTATCTATTTGCTTTGTTCAGTTTCCAATGGTTATTTTTTGTTTAATGTAGTTCGATGATTACATCGAATCAATGATAAATCGATAAAAACTTCATAATATTGTTTTTAAGCACGCTGGGGAACTCTGATTTTTTTTTCAGTAATTTTTATCGTGCTTTTTTTTATGAAAATTGATCTCAAAAATCGGAAAATAAATAATTGAATAACTCGAGGATTACCTTGTTGCTTCAATGAAATCATTCATATCTTTCGTCGGCTTTGTTTAGAAAAACATTTCGCCACTATTGTAATTTATTTTTATTTATATTTACAAAAATTAATAGGAAATTTTTTTGCCTTCTCGGACAACGACGCCGGCATGGTGTGGGGCCGGCATATTTTCGAATCATATTAAAATTATTATATATGTGGCCGATTCTCTGTGAAGTCGAATGGCCAGAAAATTTTTTTTCTGCAAAAATGAAAATTTTGTAGTATTTATGTCAGATTTGTCCAAAAAAATTTTTAGAAAAATTGGCGCCTTCTATGACACCTTTTCAGAGGCCCAAAGTTGGCCATTTTAGGGTTTTTTTGAAATTCATGAAAAATCACAAATATCTATATATTACGCGTTGAATGAATCTCGCGCTAAAATTCTGGCCTCTCCAACAAATCTGGAAAATCGATGACAAAAAAAAAAATTTTATTATATACATACCTTGTATTTACAATGTGTATATGGGCTATATCGCGTCAACTGTCCCCCCCCCCCCTTGGATCAGAGTTGTAATTTGATTTTTCATATTTTATTCTGTTTTCCAAGAGTGAATATGAAAAAATGATTGAAACATGATTTTTTATGTAAAATTTGATGAGGAATTCAAATTTGATGTCAAAAATCATATTCATAAACTCCAAGTACCTTAATTTCTAATTTTCAGCCTCAGGGGCAAAAATTAACATGTGCATATCCAGCGATATGGCAAATATTGTTATATGTTCATCGATACACCAAAATACAACTTCTGATAAATGTTTGTCTGCTAACTACCAAAATTTATCAGAAGTTTTGGAAATACTTAGTTTTAGAAAGCCAAAAATTCCTCGAACAATCTTCGCCAAGTTAGAATTTTAAATTGTTACAAATATTGTAACGATAATATATAAACAGATAAATCGGTACCTATAATGTGAACATTATGATCATTAACAATTCTGACACCGTCTTTCGACACACTGATCCTACTAATAATCAAAATAAATTACTTGGAATATTGTTTTTCAAGCCATAATACCAAAAGATAAGTGTTACTCGCTAAATTTACGTTGCACTTAATAGAAGAATCCATCCATTAATTTAAGTACCAAAAATGGATAAAAGTGGCAAGGAATCAGACGAAATTGTCCCAGAAGATAATTCAAATAAACTGAGTAGGCACAAAATATCAGAAAATAAATTTCGCAAAGATTTTGCATGCGACAAGTGCGAAAAGAAATTTGTAAAAAAAACAAGTTTGTTTACGCACCAAAAATTAGTACACAAAGATAGCGAAGATTTCAGATGCAACAAGTGCGAGAAGAAATTTGAAAATAAATCAACTTTACTCAAGCACAAAAAAATTTTCCACGAAGTTTTCAAGGACTATTTATGTGAAAAGTGCGCCAAGAGATTCGGAAATAAACAGAGCTTGCTCGTGCACATAAAAACAGTTCATGAGAGCAGCCGAAATTCCACACGTGACAAGTGCGAGAAGATATTTACCCGAGAAGGGCATTTATTGATCCACCATAAAACCGTCCATGAAGGTAACAAAGATTTTAAATGTTCTTATTGCGAGAAGAAATTTGGACATAAATCGCATTTGCTCAGCCATCACAGGGTAGTACACCAGGGCCGAAAAGAGTTCGCATGCGACAAGTGCGAAAAGAAATTCGGAAATCAAGATACTTTGACGAGACACCAAAAAACAGTCCACGAAGGTCGCAAAGATTATGCATGCGACATTTGCGAGAAGAAATTCGGACAAAAAGGAACTTTACTCACCCATCAAAAAACAGTTCACGATGGTCGCAGAGATTTCGCATGCGACAAATGCGAGCAGAAATTTACACAAAAACCGAGTTTGCTCTTTCACCAAACGACAGTCCACGAAGGTCGGAGAGATTTCGCATGTGACAAATGCGAGAAGAAATTCGGACATAAACATCATTTGCTCCGCCATCAAAAAACAGTTCACGATGATCGCAAAGATTTCTCATGCGAAGAGTGTGAGAAGAAATTCGGGAGAAAATATGTTTTGCTCTTACACCAAAAGACAGTCCACGAAGGTCGTAAAGATTTCGCTTGTGCCAAATGCGATCGGAAATTTGGAGAAAAATCGAAATTGATCAGACACCAAAATACAGTCCATAGAAATCACAAGTTGCGAAAAGAAATTCAGACGTAAAGAGAATTTACTCAACCATCAAAAGACTGTGCATGAATGTTGCAAGGAATATGCTCGTGACAAGTGCCAGAAAAGTACTAGATGAAATGATTATTGACAATTATAAATATGTATAGATACGTATACAAATGTTTTTTTTATATACGTCATGATTATAAAATGTCAATAAAAATTGTACCGTAACGATTATGTACTACTTGAACCTCAGGCGTTCAACTATCATTACATATTCGTAACTGTCAAATTGATTTTTTTAGATTAATTAAATTGGGGTTTTTCAATTCATTTGAATAGTATATTTTGTAACAAGTGCGCGAAGCAGTTGACATGACGTCATACTTCACTGACCTCCTAACTCCTTACTATTTTCGAGGTGACTCGTGAAAAATAATTTTCCTGCATTTTAATCGGTTTAACATTAAATTGGCGATGCGATGATCTATTTAGTTTTTTTTCTAATCGCAATCATTAATTTTTTCTAATTTTTCTAACGCTGAAAAACAACGATTCTTTCATCAACTGGTCAGTTTACCCTAGTTCTTTCAAACCATCTTGTTAAAATATATAATTAAAATTGTAATATTTTTAAATCTTTTACGAAAATCACTTGATACGGTCAATGCGATCACTCGTCAACGTAATTCAGTATAAGCTGCCAACGGCTCTTAACTTTTTTCGTTGAACAGCTCACATGCCTTTGACACATTGCTTTCACCTATTACTCAATTGCCGCGAATTCAAGTTTTTTGGCGAATGCAAAAAGTGTAATAAGAGCTCTAGAAAGGTGAGGGCCACGCGTTTTTCTCTCTCCACGTATAAGATCGTATAAGCGTTTGTATATATAGTCAGTCGAGCCTCAGACGCCGCAGCGTAAGCAACTCGGAAAGATTTCACCGACCGCGTCGAGTGATTTTGTGATTTTTGAAAAATCTCAGTTCGATCATGAGTTCGGTACCCGAATCCAAAGAACCCTCGAACGCAAAAGAGATAGTCGATTCCCCGTTGCACACGGCAATGGACAACGGCGACAAGAGAGGGGTCGAATTCATGCTGCGACGAGGCGACGATCCGAACGCGGTCAACAGGTGGGGCGATACTCCTCTGCACGTCGTTTGCCGGCGAGACGGCGACGACGACGACTCGGCCAAGATGCTGTTCGAGCTGAGCCGCGACGTTTATCGGCCGATAAAAATCGACGCCCAGAACGATAACGAAGACACGCCGCTGCACCTGGCTCTGCGCTTCGACAACTCGAGGCTGGCCGAGCTGCTGCTGAGAAAGGGGGCCAGTCCGAACGCGGTCAACCAGTGGGGCCAGACTCCTCTGCACGTGATTTGCAGCAGGCAGTACACGGCCGACGACTTGGCGGAGTTGTTCTTCAGGACCAGCGAAGAGATGGGACGGCCGGTGCAGGTCAACGCCCAGACCATGTTGGGCGACAGCCCGCTGCACTTGGCCCTGGACAAGGGCCACAAGAGGCTGGCCGAGTCGCTGCTGCGACGGGGCGCCGACCCGAGCGCCGTAAACGCCAACGGCGAGACCGCTCTGCACGTCGTCGCCAGGAGCTGGCACGCAGGCGCCGACGAGTTCGCCAAGAAGTTGTTTCTCGAGATCCGCCAGGACAGAGTCAGGAGGCAGATGATCGACCAGCGGGACACTCAGGGCAACACCCCGCTGCACCTGGCCCTGATCCACGGCAACGTGAGGACGGCCGAGCTGCTGCTGCGACACGGCGCCAATCCCAATCTGACCAACTGGATCAGCGGCTCGGCGGCTCTGCACATGATCTGCAGGCAGGACGGCCCGGAGGACGACTCGCTGCTGCGGCTGCTGAGCGAGTTCAGCCAGGAGAGATATCGGCCGTTGCGGATCGACGTGCAGGACGTCTACGGCGATACGCCGCTGAGTCGGGCGATGCGCTACGACAACAGGCAGCTCGTCGATTTCCTGCAGAGAAAATGGGGCAACCGAGAGTATGGACGGGAAAGAAATGGGATGTGGCCTACACAGAATTAAGTAATCAAATGGATTTATTGGATTTCATGAGTTTAATTGCGCCGTGCATCAAGTGCTTTTAATCTATGTCTGATAGCCTCCACATCACTATTGTGCTCTAGGCCGCTGCGGCAATGATACAATATTCTTTTACAATAATTAACGTATGTATTTTGAATAAATGACTCTTTGAACCGCCTAGAATTTTTGAAAAAAATATTTATCTGCGCCTAATACTCTTTTGCAAAAAGTAGTCTTTTCTAAAAACAGTAATCCGAATGAATTACTCTTTTTTCTATTCTTTCGAAAAGAGTAATTTTTACAGATTACTTCATTACAAAAAAACTTCTTCCTAAAATTGAAAATAGCCACATTTACATGTCGGTACTGTGAATCAAAAATTTTCGTTATCAAGAATATTAGTCAAGAATAGAAGTTCTCTACGAGAAGTTCATGCATTCGCAACACGGCACCATATCGATAATTAGCATTCGTGAATGAAAATTGTGTATTCTTGGCGCAGGGGCACTAAATCATTGTCCAGTGCTTGACACAAGAAAATATTACATTATATTATTTAAATTTTCATTGCTCAGAGAGAACTTTGATCATTCATTGTTGACGTGAAATTGACTCGAGTACGAAAATAAGTTGTAAGGGCGAGGACGCAAAGTTGAGGAATAATTATACACGTTTTAGGAACTTATTCGAAGGGATTTTTCATCATAACAGCAATAATGAGTATATTGTAAAAGGTAAAAAAAAAATAAGTCGAATTTAAGCAAACAAATGTGTTTGAGATAATAACTTTATAAACAAAGGATACGACAAAGCTTTTACAAGTGATAAAATTAATAAAAGTTGAAAATACTCTGTTTTTTCATAAAATTGTAACATACATAACATTATATCAAACGTTTTCAACCAATACGATAGTCATGCGAATGCAAATATTTTGTGTCCAAATTTCACGTGATAAAACTTATTTTACAGAAGATATATCGCGATGATGCACTGAATTTATTTGAGCACATGGAGTATCCGAGCAGTCGTATGACTTGTGTCAAACCATATGAAACACATGAATAATTTGATACAATCATATATGTACTTTCTTGGTGTGACTTTTGAGCACATTTTGGTATTTAAATAATTCGTGACAAAGATCACATTCAAAGGGTTTGCTCGATCCGATCATGTATTGAATTTATGTGATTTTTAAGTACATTCTGGTATCCAAATGATTTGTGACAAATCACACATTCGAAGGGTTTGATGCGATTATGTACTGCGTTTATGTGATTTTTAAGTACATTCTGGTATCCAAATGATTTGTGACAAATCTCACATTCGAAGGGTTTTCTATGATCATGTACCGAATTTATATGACTTTTGAGGCTAACTTTGCATGAAAATGATTTGTGGCAAGTCTTACATTCTAATGGTTCGTCAAGATTATGTAATGAATTTGAGTGTCTTTTCATATCAACTTTTTGTCCAAATGATTTATGACAAATTTTACATTCGAATGGTTTGATATGATTATGCACAGTGTTTATGTGAGTTTTGAGGGTAATTTTCTGGACAAATGCTTTGTGACAAATGTCACAATCAAAAGGTTTGATACAATTGTGTACCGCATTTATGTGGTTTTTGAGATGGTGTTTTCGTCCAAATGATTTGTGACAAATCTCACAATCGTAGGGTTTGCTCCGATCATGTATTGTATTTATGTGATTTTTAAGTACACTCTGGTATCCAAATGATTTGTGGCAAATTTCACATTCAAAGGATTTGATACGATTGTGTACTCTGTTTATGTGTTTATTAAGGTTACTTATTTGTCCAAATGATTTATGACAATTATCACATTCAAAGGGTTTGCTACGATTATGTACTGCGCTTATGTGAGTATCGAGGTTACCCTTGCTCGAAAATGATTTGTGACAAGTGACACATTCGAAGGTTTTGCTGCGATCATGTACCGTTTTTAGATGAATTTTGAGGTTATTTTTGCCGGAAAATGATTCATTAGAAACCGCACATTTTTTCGGTCTAATGCTTTTATGTTTCGTATCGATATGCTGTTTCCGACTTGCTTTTACTCGATGACTTTTTTCATTCACAAAATTAGTCATTTGTTCGTTTTCCATTTTCACAATAGGTGAACAATTTTGATTCTCGGATTTGACGATCGTTGTCGATAGAGACGGCGGCTCAATTTTAACATCTTTGCACTCAAACTCTATGATTAAATTTTTATCTGACCTTTTCCGTGACGTCGCAGTTTCATTAGCACGTTTCGCCTGAAATAACCAATTTTGGTTAGTTTTTAATAGTCGATAAACAGTATATCATTCGAAGCATCTTACTCACCGATATCTCATGCAACGGCAATGCCTCAAAGTTTTCGGCTTTGCAATAATCCACCGCATCGAAATTGTAATCTTCGCACGCGTCCGGCCAATTATCGTACGGCTCTTCCTTGACGCTAAGGTAATAATCAAGTTAGATAAAGCCATAGCTTGTAAAAAAAAATCACGCAAAAAAAGTTATACCTCGCTGTATCGCTGCAGCTTTCCATAACACTGGCCCTCGATGTTGTATCTATTCACTGGACATTTACCCTCGAAAAATATTCGAGGTTATATATATGCTCCGAGTAATCACTTCGATTCCGATTGAAAATTGAGATACAATTTAGTACGGATATGGTTCGTGAACACTTGCTCGTCGTGAGCACATCATCTGGACACTGCGACAATTTACGCATAAACCACCACTAGTGTATTAGCAATAGGTGATCTCGCGAGTCGCGACTGCTATCGTCCGTTGGCGAAACTTTTCCCCTCTACAGTCGACTGCATTCGTATAGCTGCTCGTTCGTCGCTTCGTTCTCTATGCCTATTCTGTCAGTGAGAAATCAAAGCGGGAAGAAATACACTAGGCGATATTTCCCGTTTTTGATGTGTAACGTTTTTTCTTTTATTCGTGTGTTTAAACACCATCGCAACAGCGTTAAAAACAATAACCTAAAAAAGCAATAGTTGCACATAACAACATCCAACACGGAGATATAATTTTAACTTCGTCCTCAAAATCAATCGCATCTCCATCGTACGCAGATTCGTGTGCTTTCAGTGTATACAGTGTCAATATAGTGTGCAGCAACACGTCGAAGCGAAGTGTATATATTGCCTAGACGTGCAAGTGAAACTGGTGCAGTGCGCTGTATTCAAGCCCGTCGTTAATTCGTGAATTTTTTTTATACTTCGTGTAGTGTCCAGCTGGTACATTTCTTCACATCTTCCTCGTGTTCTTTATGTATCTATTTGACGATAATGTAGTGCTTCGTCGAGCCTAGACGCAGCCGAGGTCGAGAAACGATGAAACGATGCGCGTCCAACAGCGTCTTGCGGTGAGTGTAACTTTCATGCAGAAATATAGCATCGAGACACGGCGTTTATCGTCTTCGTCGTTCGATCGCCTGGTACTAGATACACTCGCTGTCATTATATTATGATATTTGCTGCAATCGTGAAACTTCTCTGGCATATTGCTTCGAATCCAGGAAAAGGTCTCGTGGAGTGTCTCCTCGAGTCGTGCAGTTGACTATGCTATATTTCGTCTACGTTTGTGCTCTGCCACTTTACGTAGATTTGATACGAATATCGCTGCTTTTGCGCTATTACGTTACATTGTACACACAGGCTGTTAATGTTCAGTAAATCTCAGATACTTGTCACTTCCCGCCCACTTGATTGCATACGCGTACGTGCCCAGCACTGCTACGTTGCTGCGGCCGCAGTGAACCAAATCGAACAAGCCTCGAATAATAAGATTTTACGCAGTTTTATCGATTCGCAAGATTCGTAACTTCTGTTACTGCCTCAAACGACATGTCATGGGTAACTTCTGCATAGAAGCGAATATATCTGCCGTGCATAATGACGATGCGCGTCTGAATTGAGTACATTTAACTAGTCGGTGAATTGTCGCTCTTGAACGAAAAGGTAGACGATTAAAAATGAATCAATCAGTTATTGAGATCGTCGAGTACATTATATTGAAAAAAAATAGTCATTATGGTACATCCATTCAGCAGAGAGTATGTTGCTGTTGAACATTTGTGTAGATCAAATACGTGCTAATTACGAACATCCTATTATAGGAGGTGGCGAGTTATGAGCACCCAATTTTCACGAATGAATATTGACATTTTGTATTATAATATATAATACATAATACATTGTGTAAGGATAAATTAAATCGATATTACAGGAAATTTTTTCGAAGAACTTGGTTTTGAAAAGTCAAAACAATTCTGCGAAGAAATCGTTACCAATTTAGGGTTTCAAACTCGTTCAAATTTGGAAAACAATGTATAAACAGATCAATTGGTAATTTAATTGTAAACAGTACGATCAAAAACGATTCTCACATCGTCCCTCGAACACTGATCATGTTCACTGTGAAAACAAATTAGTTTGAATCTTGTTTTTCCCAATGGAACAAGTCTTGATACCAAAAGATAAATCTCAATCATACAAATTCTAAAATGGACAACAGTGAAAAGAAATCCGAAAAAATTGACTCGGAAACTAATTTAAGTGAACGGGACATTGTTGTTTCAGACAACAAACAAAACATCGGTTATATGTGTCAGGGGGCATTTACACTAGAATCGAGCATGATAACTCACAAAAATACAATTCATAATGAGCAAAAAAAGTATACATGCTACGAGTGCGAGAAGAAATTCGAGTTCCGAAGTCATTTGAGTAGACACCAAATATCAGAGCACAAAAGTAGCAATGATTTTGCATGCGATGAGTGCGAAAAAAAATTTGTGAAAAAATCGAGTTTGTTTACGCACCAAAAATTAGTACATAAAGATCGCGATGATTTCACATGCAAAAAGTGTGAGAGGAAATTCGAAAACAAATCAACTTTGATTAGACATAATAAAATATTCCACGAGGTGTTCAAAGATTACTTATGTGAAAAGTGCGCAAAAAGATTCGGAAATAAGCATAGTTTGCTCATGCACATAAAGACGACACACGATGGTCGCAAAGATTTCACTTGTAATGAGCACGAGAAGAAATTTGCATTACAATCGATTTTTCTTTCACACCAAAAAATAGTACACGAGCGTCGCAAAGATTACCAATGCGACAAGTGTAAAAATAAATTCACACGAAAAAAGAGTTTGCTTATGCATCAAAAGACAGTACACGAAGGTCGAAAAGATTACGCGTGCGACAAGGTATTTGTAAAAAAATCGAATTTGCTTGTACACCAAAAGACAGCACACGAAGGTTGCAAAGATTATGCGTGTGACAAGTGTGAGGAAAAATTTGGAATGAAACAGAATTTGAGCTTACACCAAAAGACAATTCACGATGGACGCAAAGATTACGAATGCGACATTTGTGAAAAGAAATTTGGACAAAAATCAAAATTAATTAGACATCAAAAAACGGTACACGAGGGTCGCAAAGATAACGCGTGTGACAAGTGCGAGAAGAAATTTGGACAAAAATCACATTTACTCATGCACCAAAAGACAGCACACGAGGGCCGCAAAGATTATGAATGTGACAAATGCGAAAAGAAATTTGGACTTAAACATCATTTGCGTTTGCACCAAGAAATAATTCACGAAGGTCTGAGAAATTTCATATGCGACAAGTGCGAGAAGAAATTTGGACTTAAACAAAATTTGATCAGACACCAAAACAAATTCCACGAAGGTCGGAAAGATTACGCATGCGACAAGTGCGAAAAGAAATTTGGAGAAAAATGGACTATGATTCAGCACCAAAAAACAGTCCACGAAGGTCGTAAAGATTTTGCATGCAACAAATGCGAGCAGAAATTTGGACAAAAAACGACTCTGCTTAATCACCAAAGAACAGTTCACGACGGTCGCAAAGATTACGCGTGTGACAAGTGCGAGAAGAAATTTGGGAAAAAAAGCAATTTGATCCAACATCAAAACACAGTTCACGAAGGTCGCAAAGATTACGGATGCGACAAGTGCGAAAAGAAATTTAGTCAAAAAGTACAATTGCTTTTTCACCAAAAGACCGTACACGAAGGACTCAAGGATTACCCATGTGAAAAATGCGAGAAGAAATTTGAATGTAGATCAAATTTGTTGAATCATCAAAAGACAGTTCACGATAGGCACAAAGATTACACGTGTGACAAGTGCGATAAGAAATTTGCGGATCGAAGCAATTTGAGAAGACACCGAAAAACTGTCCATGTAAGTCAAAAAGATTCAGCATGCGACAAGTGGGAGAAGAAATCATGTACCTCACCGAATTTAAGTTGAAAAACATTGCACAAAATTCCTCAAAACCGCCAATCAATTTCTCGAAGTTTGTCAAGATTACGAATGTGATAAATACGAGAAAATTTTTACAGACAAAGCATTTTGATTATATTTGTTCATAAGTTTTTGCATGTGAATATCTGAAAAGATGTACACAATAACAATCAATTTCACGGATCATAAACAAGATATTCACGAAAAATTTTAAAATTTTGAGTTACAATATGTACCTAATAACAAAATTGTCTACGTACCTCTTCAACAAATCTTGAAATTATTAAAAAATAAGGGGTTTTTGAAGTGGTGAATACTAGAAGTATATTCCAGAATATAAAGTCAATTTAGGTCTCTATATTCGCTAAATAATTAATATTAAAGATCTAATTTAACACAATTTTTTTTTAAATTGTTCTTATTGAACTGAAAATTTTTAACATAAATATATTATTTAAATACTGGTATTAAGTTTTGATTTCACGTAAAAATTTAATTCAAAGTTGAGCGAAAATACCCAAATTGACCTTATTGACTATTGAAATACTTTGGATTAGAATTTTTTTTTTAACTAATTTTTTTTTACGTAAAATAGTTGATTTAACTGTTTGATAATTTTAATATTCTGATAGTCATCTCACATCATTTCATCTCACATCATATTTTAATATTCTGATAGTCATCATTACATCTTTGTTCACTGTTGTGATGGTGTTTTATTTTTGAAGTAGATTTCGTAAACTACTAATTACTTCTCTCCATTTTGGTCACTTGGATCTTGCATTTATTCATCCAAGGATCAGCCCGAAGTTTTTTTGGCGTCTTGTTTGTATCTCTGAACGAAGCGAACATATAGTTGATAACTGAATTTTTGATAAACCTTATGTAATGATAGACTATCCTGAATTTATCGAACATGCGCTAGTGAACGATTTTGATAAATTTTCTAATAGACTGATTATTTCTGCTATGAGAGACGCGATTGATAATAAAAATAAGTTTTCACTGAAAAACCAACCTAGAAACCTTAATACTTTGAACCAAAAAATGGTTTCTACATCATTTAAAATTTTTAGAAACTATCCCAATTGATTCATGATTTTCTTCTAAGTACTTTTATTGTTCCAAAATTTTATTTTAATGCTCCATGAAATTTATCATTTTCTCTTTTACTTTCTAAGTTTCAATCATTGATTTTTATATTAATGCTGTCACATACGATAAAGCTGTTTTTATTAAACCGTAAAAAATTGTGTTGTGTTTATGATGCGTTATAAACTTTTATGAACTTTTGTGTATGATCAAAATCCTAAAAAATTCATAAAAGTTTGTAAAACTACATAAGTTTTCAAAACTTTAAAAAAATTATACGCAAATTAGATATCTATCGGGGATGTATGTCAATTTCATTTTAAATGATATAGTGTTTAACTATTCGTAGCAAGATTACAAAGTATGTTAACTATATAGAGTTTCGTGTCATAGTTTGTGCCACAACTGAAGTTCATGAGTTGTAACGTACTATAATCAAGACGTGCAGTAGCACCTCACCGGCAAAGTGTGATAGTGTACTGCGTCAATAATAGAAGAATTAATAAATATAGTACTAGAGTAGGATATAGCAAATTCATCAATAACGGACACTTACTCTTGACTGAGTATTAACTATACATAAAATGCACGAATCAGTGCCGGTAAAATGAATATTATGCATAAAAGTAAATATTTTTAAAAATGAATCGTTAATTATTTTTACAGGATAATTTACAAACAGGCCAAACTTTATTCAAATGGATAAATTTTATTTTTGCGTTTTACGGAATTAATCCAATGAATTTCAACGCAGTGCTGCACTACTCGATTGTACTATATATTTCAATACACCTTATATTAACATGTTTGACACTAAGCTACTCAAACGGGGAAACAGACGAATTTTTATGTACCCTTATGGAAATAGGGGGTATAGGCGGATTATTAGTGAGAATGGTAACCTATGGTGCTAATCAAAAAAAGATCGCTAAAATAATCGCACAAATCTTGAAAGATTACGAAGATCCATTACTATATAAAAATCTTAAAGAAGTGCACGTTGCTTTGAAATATATTAAACAAGTGAAAACATATTTTATGGTTTCGGTTCCATTATCATTTGTAAACGAAACCACGTACTTCCTCCAACCTCTTTTAGAGAATAGTTTTAAAACACCTTCGTTCATCGGTTGGTATAATTATTTTATTTTGATACGGATATCATTTTAGAACTAATGATCGATTTTTGATTTTTAATTCATAGATTTTCAAAATGTGACAACTTATGTCCTTCCGTACAGCGTAGCTTTTAATATTGAAAATGATAGAGATTATTGGTTAACTTTTATTTATCTAATTCCTATGTGTTACTGCGCTGTATTCTGTCTCGGTATTGATATAAGTTTGATGCTCGCTCTCCTGGCTCACGTATGCGGACAGTTAGCATTACTGTCTGAATGTGTTTTGCCTGAAATTGCTAACGATATTAATACATTTTCAATTAATACGTCTTTCAGTATTCACAGGCACAGCAGATTAATAAGGTAATAAATATTGCAATCTACTGCACGTTGTTTTCGTACATATTTTTTCAAAAAAATAAAGCATTTTCATGGTCTCACTGTGAACAAAGAGCTTTTATGAAAGTATTCAATTCACAATTTAAATTTCCTTTTTAACACAAAGCACCCCACCCACGCCATAGCTTGGGGTTTTCAGCATATAGTAGCGACAAATTTTGGAATCAATATCAAATTTTTTCAAGATTGCTACCAATATCTTCTTTTAATAATGCAAGTAACTACAGTAGTTATTACGGCCACTGAATAAACCCTCTGAATAATGAATAATCTATCATTTATAATATTATGTATAATTTTATGAATGTACAATTTTTATTTTTGATGAGAAAGCTATTGATTGTTTTTATCTCATTTTTAAGGATGGCAAAGGAAATCAACAAAATTTATGATTGGTTCTTGTTAAATCAATACGTAATGATAATGTTTTATAACTGTACGATTGGTTACTTATTTTTAATAGTAATTTTTTTGGAAATTAACATTCTTTCTATCAAAAATAATATTAGCATATAGTATCAAAAATTCTTACAGGCTATAAGTCAACATCAGAAGGTATTAATATTTACATATCTACTTTCAATCATGAGTGTGAATATGGTTCTCTTTCTTTATTGCCATGCAGGTCAATGCCTTTATAACGAAGTAACATTTTATTTATAATTTGGCCGATATTTATTTTTATTCTTAACAATTCTAAAGTAATATTTTTTTCAGAGTACGAAATTAAGCGATTCTTTATATCATAGTTGTTGGTATAATTTGAATCCACTTCAACTTAAACACCAACTAATATTCCTAACTCAATCTCAAATTTGTTTACGGCTTACTGGCAAAAATATTTGCATTTTCTCTTATGAAAGTTTTTTGAATGTATGAAATAACCTATATTCTTAGAAATATTGTGCAATTTGTTATATTAAATAACGTGATTTTAGGTAATTAAGTCATCAATGGCCTACTTCTCTGTTCTCCGGAAGATTTTGTAAAATATTTCATAAATTTTTCTGAATTTTGACGATCAGAATGATCAATCTCCACCTCTTTTCGAGCAGATGTCATGTCATTAGATAAAAAGTTATGACTGGATAATAAATACCGAAGATCTTTATTGAAACTTGAAAAGTTGTCATTTAAAATACCATGTCATTACAGCGATGAATAATGAGAATTTAGGAGACGCATATGGGTATTTTTTTGATCTACATGACGGTCAACTCCCGGACTCCCGCCGAAACTCTTCATTAGTAGACTTCCGAATTTTCACTGAAACGTTTTGAACAGTAGCCACCGGAGCGTAATTACTTTTTATCTTCCGAACTTCACTGGAGTGAGTTCCCGAGAGTAGGACCTAGCAGGGCTCATTAAGATTCAATATTGTACTCAGTCAAACTACCAAACCGGAACTTGATATTTCTTCGCTCTTTTCATATTTTATTTCAAGTTTCAACATCGGCTGCTAGGAGGCGCATTCCGCAACAGCCGCTCCCGCAACTGTTCAACTACTTTTTAGAGTACAAGTATGAGTGATTTTTCAGTTTGTTTACTCATTGAGTTCGAATATGGTACTGATGCGCCGAGCGGCCATTCTAGGAAAATATTCTTGCGTAAATAAACCGTTACTTTTTGGAGAAAGTCATCTTCAAGTTTCGTTTGCGAGTATCTCGATGCTGCTATTGAGAGAAAAATCGACATGTACATTTTTCAATTCAATCAACACATGCATCAGCTCGATAAGCAGCGTTTATGCATGTACTGAACTTCACATATCAATCGATCAGTATTGCGTTTTATGAGGACTATGAATACACTATTTTGTGTCACTTTTTGCCAGGAATTGATTTACCGAATCAGAATTATCGTGTATTTCATTGATTTCAAATGATAACTTTAGGTTGTTTTCGCGCGTCTCTAAATCATGATTCTCGTGTGTATGACGAGCGTAGAGTGACACTGCTCCCGTCTGGCATACTTGCTATAAATAATTCTCACATTGTTCCTCGGCAAACTGATCATGTTTATTGTGAACACAAATTAGTTTGAATGTTGTATTAATCGATGAAACAAGTCTTAATACCCAAAAGATAAATCTCACTCATACAAATTCTAACATGGACAACAGTGAAAAGAAATTCGAAAAAATTGACTCGGAAACTAATTCAAGTGAACAAGACATTGTTGTTTCCAACAACAAAAAATACTTTTGTAATATTTGCCAGGAGGCCTTTACACTAGAATCGAGCATGATAATACACCGCAATACAATTCATAATGAGCAAAAAGATTACTCGTGCGACAAGTGCGAAAAGACATTCGAGTTCCGAAGTCATTTGAGTAGGAATCAAATATCAGAGCACAAAAGTCGCAATGACTTTTCATGTGACCAGTGCGAGAAGAAATTCGTAAAAAAATCGAGTTTATTTACGCACCAGAAATTATTTCACAAAGATCAAGATGATTTCACATGCAAAAAGTGTGAAAGGAAATTTGAAAATAAATCAGCATTACTCAAGCACAAGAAAATATTCCACGAAGTTTTCAAAGATTACTTATGTGAAAAGTGCGCCAAGAGATTTGGAAATAAACGCAGTTTGCTATTGCACATAAATACAGTCCACGATGGTCACAAAGATCACATATGCGACAAGTCTGAAAAGAAAGTCGAAAAAAAATCGCATTTGCTCATGCACATGATAAAAGTCCACGAGCATCGTAAAAATTTTGCATGTGACAAATGTGAGAGGGTATTTCAGAATCAAAGCAATTTGAAAAGGCACCAAAAGACAATACACGAGGGTCGTAAAGATTACCTATGCGAAAAGTGCAACAAGAAATTTGGAAAAAAATCGGATTTACTCATGCATATTACGACAGTCCATGAGCATCGCAAAGATTACGCATGTCATAAATGCAAGAAGAAATTTGGACAAAAGGTTAACCCATTAACGACCAAAATGCTCGATTTTTTTGTTGGTTTTCGCAGCGATTTTTTTTATAGTTTGAGGCCTCCAAAAAGTTTCGTATGGACCTATTTCGATGTAAAATTTAATGTCCTTTCAGAAACTGAGCTCAAAATTTCGATTCTTTGCGCAATAAAAAAGTTATGGCTACTTATACGATAAAAAAATGTAAAATTTTTTGCAAAAAATCAAGTTTTTGATTTTTTTCACCATGTTACCGTTAGGGAATCACGATATAAATATGATCAGAGGTGATCACGACTATCAAAGTATCTCAGAGAATTTTTATGGAATTTTTGAACTCCTTTTCAAACTTTGGTATTTTGCCCTTTTTCTCTAAATTCAGTAGTTTTCGAGTAAAAATGAGTTATGTTTTATATGAATATAAGTTATTTTTTGTTTGAAGTAGTGGTTCGAAAATTCCATAAAAATTCCTTCAGATACTTTGATAGTCGTGATCACCCCTGATCATATTTATATCGTGATTCCCTAACGATAACACGGTGAAAAAAAATCAAAAACTTGATTTTTTGTAAAAAATTTTACGTTTTTTTTCGTATAAGTAGCCATAACTTTTTTATTACGCAAAGAATCGAAATTTTGAGCTCATCTTCTGAAAGGGCATTAAATTTTACATCGAAATAGGTCCATACGAAACTTTTTGAAGGCCTCAAACTACAAAAAAAATTGCTGCGAAAACCAACAAAAAAATCAAGCAGTTTGGTCGTTAATGGGTTAATTTGCTTAGACACCACAAAACAGTCCACGAAGGTCGGAGAGATTTTGCGTGTGACAAGTGCAAAAAAAAATTTGGATTAAAAACAGACTTGTTTCGGCACCAAAAGATAATCCACGAAGGTCGCAATGATTACGCATGTAACAAATGCGAAAAGAAATTCGGACTTAAATATCATTTGCGTTTGCACCAAAAAATAGTTCATGAAGGACGTAAAGATTATGCATGCGACAAGTGCGAGCAGAAATTTGGACTAAAATCAAATTTGCTAATCCACATAAAAACAGTTCACGAAGGTCGTAAAGATTTTGTATGCAATAATTGCGAGAAAAAATTTGGGAGAAAACAGAATTTGTATTTACACCAAAAGACGGTTCACGATGGATACCAAGACTACGGATGCGACATTTGCGGAAAGAAATTTGGACAAAGAGGTAATTTGCTTCTCCACCAAAAGACAGTCCACGAAGGCCGCAAAGATTACGGATGCGACAAGTGTGAGAAGAAGTTTGGACATCAATCTAATCTAATTCTACACCAAAAGACAATTCATATAAGTCAAAAAGAGTATGTATGTGACAAGTGTGAGAAAAGATTTGGACAAAAAAGTAATTTGCTTCTCCACAAAAAGGCCGTTCACGAAGGTAGCAAAGATTACGGATGTACCGGATGCGAAAAGAAGTTTGGGCATCAATCTAATTTGATTAGACATCAAAGGGCAGTCCATGGTGGTCACAAAGCTTACACATGCGACAGGTGCCAGAAAAAATTTGGCTATCAGTCCAATTTTATGAGACACCGAAAGACAGTACATAAAGATTGTAAATAAAAAAACGCGATAAGTGTAAAAGTAAACTCGAGACTCGATCAAATTTGAGTTTACAACAAAAAAAGTCCATGAAATTCACACAAATTACCTATTGAACGATTTTTTAAAATTTCTTGCATTTGATCGCGTGTAAAAAGTATAAAATTGAAATCAATTTGACTGATAATAAAAGAGTTGTTTCCAGAAAATGTCAAGACTTTGGATCTTAACAAAACCATCTATAAGTCTGTTATTTATCGATTTAAAAATTTTATTATTATGCTTGAAATTTAGCGAACAAATTCTGAAGTTTTACTACTGGTACTTTCGTATGGATAAGTGAGAAACTGAATTGATACGACAATAATATGAAAGGCGACGAAATCCATCGCTGAATACAGCAAAAATATGTAAAATCTTTTATTTGTTGTATTTTTTACCTATCAGTGTTGAGCTAAGCTAAATTTTTTCTTTCTAGTATTTTCTTTGGATTATATTAACGAATACACCTGCATATAGTATAAAGTACAAAAAGACATTTGTGAGTCTCATACTTGACAACTCCGTCGATTTTTAAACTTACCGAAAAATGTGAGGTTTCCGTAACGATAAATAAATGCTAGAAGTAAATTCTAAAATAAATTGACTCACAGAATACTTCAGATCAATGCCAGAAAGGTTTTATTGGAGCTAATTTTTTTAATAATTAGACGACTTAACTGTACAATAATAATCATATTCATCATAATAATACATTATTCATCATGGTTCGATTTGACAATTGACACTGACTATTTGTAAATCAAAACGCTTTACATATCAGTTTTCAAAAGCAAAGGTAGGAAAGCCCGTGGCTCGCAATGAATGTTGCCAAAGAAATTTGGACAACCGTTGGCAACCTTTTTGCCTTTTTTTAAAAATAATTATCATGTTTTTTAAAATAATTTTTTTCATGCTAACAGCTCGAATTTATTGTAGTCACATGCTTTGAGTAGTTCGTCAGAGAATGATAGCGCGTTAAATAATGAAAAGCATCGATTTTTTTCTTAAAAATTGTAAATATTTATAGAAACTTATAATCAAGTATAAGTTTTTCAAAAAATTTGAATAAAAATTGGATCAATGTGAATGTGTTTCACCTGAACCTCTTGACATGCAATGAATATTGGGCTAGTATTCAGCCGGTTACTCGATTTTTGATAAACCTTATGCAATGATTTACAAGTTCAATTGATTCTAAATTGATCCCACTAGTGTAAGATTTTGAAAAAATAGCTGATGGACTGATTAATTATTTCCGCTATGATAGACGTCATACATAATAAAAACATGTTTATACCGAAAACCCCATCTAGAAACCTTAATACTCTAAATCAACAAATATTTTCTACATCATTTAAAATTATTAGATTCTATTCTAATCGCTGCGTGGTTTTTCTTGGTATTTTTATTATTTCAAAATTATATTGTAATGCTTCGATCTTCATTTTTCCGACTTTTCAAAAATCCAAGGCCTTAACTGAGTGTCAAGTAAAGTTTGTGCGAAAGTGACATTTTTTCTAATTTGAATAAGGATTCTATTTTAATCAATAGACTTTTTATTGACAGATATATAGTTACTTTATTAGTTCATTCGAAATAAAATTTGTCACAATGTTTTAGTAGATTTTAAATATTTAAGTTTAACTTAACAAAACCAATTTTTTATGATAATTGTGTGTATTAATGTCTAAGTGTGCCTGCCAGCTTTGACTATAGTTAGTTCGCTGTTAGCCGCTAGGAGGCGCTGACACACCAATCGACTACCCCAAATGAATAAATTGAGGTTGTCTCATTATAGGCTGTGCATTATAGCCGCTACACAAGTTTTAGTCAGCCGCGTATTTGCTTGCTCGCAAATAACTCGTTCTCTTTGCATTCTTCTTATTTGCAAGAGCTTACCGGCGGTAGAATTAGGATATGCATATGCTTGGACAAGTGTTATGACTTCGTTCCGGAAATTTAATTTTTCTTCCGATTTTATTTGATCGACGTCTGGTATGAGAGTTTCAAAAAACTTCAAGTCTACTCGCTGATCTTTCTCACTTCAGGGTTGTTCGTCTGCATCCGCCGGAATCAATTGTACGGGTACATCACCTTCTTCATTCGGATGAATTACATTTCGTTCGTCAGGGGTATCCGTACTCTCCGATTCCGATTCCGATTCCTCTGCAATTGGTTTGATTCGTTTGTATATTTTTCTCTTAGATGGTACAACGAATCCTACTCGTTCGAACAAATCACATCCATCCGATATTTGTTCCAAATCACAATAGGGCCTTCTGCAATAGAAACGTTAAAGTGTCATTTTACCACCCAGAGGTGGGCAAATTTAAATGATACGTACTCAATTCTTCGGAAAAACCACTTCATCAATTCTTCATTGCGACTAGCATGATCAAGATCGAACATATGGGGTTTTTGGAGCAAATGTTTTATTTCTCTTCGTGCTTTTACCGCAGTAACGGCGGTATGAAACCTTTTACCCTCATCTGTGCTCCATTGGCGATTCCATTGATTCTGAATTGTATGTTTACCTTTTTTGTATTCGGTTTCTAGTATGTGCCTGTGAACGAAATTAATCGTAGCTTCTTTATCCGGTGTTCCGTCTTCTTCATATTTAAATGATCTGTGAAGTCCTCTGAATTCGCCGGTGCCAGCTCCTCTAAAATATTCAAATCATTATATTAACATCGCGACTCTGGTGGTCCACAATCTCTTTTTTTTATGCCTCGGATGCCATCTTATTTCCTTCTTAATTTTTCGACACTACTTCTGTATGACGTTGCATACTCGTTGGAGTATCATGTATACAATCTGAACATCTATGTTCCAGCACAAAAGCCGCACAAGTAAACTTGGCGTAGCAAAAACTTGCCTTAGTCCCGTGTTAAAAGGATGGACTCTGCCAAATAAGGAAGAGAGATAGAGAGAGGAAGTGAGTTGAGTCAGTTTTCATGCCAAATGCATTTCTCGTGCCTGTGAAATTTTATTTTTCACTTTTATGTATACGCATACAATATGTACACAGTGTAGTTCTACGGAATTTCGCACGCGTCGCGGAAATCCAAAGAGAGAAATGACAGAGCGTGTATAGTACGCCAGTAGCAAGAGCCCGAGACGTTCAGACAAACTACTCGACGTTTCGTAAATATGTTAGACGCCATTTATATAAAGTACATATAATTTGAAGAAAGACAAAAAATTTTGTAAGCAGTATATATATTGAAGTTGAACGTTGTCAACATTCATATACAAATCGTACTATTTTTTGTTAATTATTAATATTTCTTCCGCCTTGTGAGTATAATGAAAAAAATTTAGAACTGTTTTTTTCTAACGGTGTCAGGTTACGCTAGAAAGTGACGAGCTATTCTCATCTCTCATATACGGATTCAACCGAGACTGTTTTGATCTCAAAACGAGCATGCAATTTTCTCCGGAGGGATACTTTTGATATCGGCAGTACGATACTATAATTTCACCAATACCTCAGAGTTGAAGCGTCACATTGTAAGTCGTCTCATTGCGTACACCGGAGCGTACAACACATAATTTCTACTTTCGGAGTTTCAAGTCCGACCGCCAGGTGGCGAAGCGCTGGAAAAAAGACGCACCCGCAAGAGAGAAACATTACTTTAGGGTACTAGTATTCGTTTCTTTTTTTTTGTTTCTGCATAAATCTTCTTCAAATTAACAGCTTCGAGTGCTTAGTAATGTAATTAAAATTTAGTTTATGGTAAAATGAAAAATTCCATCTTTACCATTTTCTTTGAGTGCGGTAGTCGTGGCTAGCAAAGATTTCTTTGGTTTTTGAAAAAAATTTTCTGCCTCGTTGCTTATCGCTTTGAAATTGTCTTTGATGAGACTCTGTTCGTCGATTCCAATCATTTTGAAATGTTCAATTTCTTGCTTTTGAGCTTCTTTCACTTTTCGGTTTTGGACCAGTAAGTTACCTACCGTTTAGACCATTGTATCGCCAGACATTTTCATTGTATCCTCAATAACTACTTTTGTAAGATCTTTAGACTCTGAGTCAAGTTTAGAGCTTAAAGGGATATCTTGCGCAGGTTTTTCACGCTTACTCTTTTTCGACTCTTTTGTTTTTGTTGTTGGCACCTTTAAAGAAGCTTTCACCTGAAAGTTTTTAAACTTATCGGAATTCTCTTCGCTGTCAGGGTACGAGTAATTCCCAATGACCCTCTTTATGATTACTGGTGAACAGTAGGTGTACCACCTCCTTTCGGCTCTTACTAAATGCAGTCGAAAATATTTGTAACTTAATAAGACTTCTTGAGGATGATAATTTTTCATACACGCGAACAGTTACGTCGTACT